GTATTGGAAATATCTTTTTACCAGTCTGGCACTCCTGAGAGGAAAAAGAGGAGCAATCATGTATAAATAATACATATAAATGCCAAGTCCTACATGTGCTCTAGGTTTGTTGCAGAACAATGTGTTAAGCTTGCAAACTCCAGAAGCAGACTCCTCGGTTCAAATTCCAGCTCTACCGCTTCAGAAGTGTGTGCACTGCAGCAAGTTACTTAGCCTTTCTAGGACTTTCTCAGTTTCCTCATCTGTGAAACAGATTAAGGGCTGCACATACCTTGTACTGTTGTGAAAATTAATTGAGCCATTAAATGTAATGTGATGAACAAGGGTCAGCCAACTACATCCTGGTAGCTATTCTTATATAACTCACAAGCTGAAAGTGGTTTTTACATTTATAATTTCATCAAAAAACTAGTGGATATTTGTTTTCTCTCTTGCTATATATGTATATGCCTACAGGATAGCTTCAATTTTGGCTCTTCCTTGCAAATCTTAACATATGTACTATAAATATTTACTAAATATATAATATTAATATATCCACATTTATATAATGTATTATATTTGATTAATATGGTGAATATTTACATGATATTAATGTATTAATATGTAAAATATTAGTATTATTTACTAAATACTATTTATTATCTTTCTTTATTATATTTACTATTCTTTACAGAAAAGATTCGCTGACCTCTGGTGAAGTATAACTTGTGAACCTTAGGAAGAGTTTAATGTGTGTTAACTATTTATCATAATGGTAAGAAATAAGTATTTTGATGTCTATTTTTATGGAGGGTGGAATGGAAGCTTGGTGATGGGAAGTGACCCTGGCCACTTCTTTGACTCTTGCAACATTGCTTTGGGATGACTGGGACTGTGTGAGGGCCCTGGAGCCCATGCAGGTGGTCCTCACTCCTCGGCACCATGCTGGAAAAGACTTGGAAGCTTCCTGGCTTTAGTATGTGAGGTGAGACACAAATTTCCCTCCCTTGTGGATTTCTCCTCAACCAATCTGAGAAGTCTGGCATGTCTGCATTATGCATCCATCAAACACTCATAAAACAAATATTTATGGAAAAGCTCTGTGCTGCATTGTTTCCCTGCTGGGACTGAGTGTCGTGGGACAGAAAGGGACAGAAATTCCCACTGCAGGATGACAGAGGGCAAAGGCTGAGACCCTCTTCTTGGATGTTCCTGCTAAAAATGCATAACCGGAATCTAATCATGAGGAAACATCAGACAAAACTATCTGAGGGACTTTCTACAAGACAACGGCCCTGGACTCTTCCAAAATGCCAAGATCAGAAAAACAAATAAAGGCTGAGGAACTATTCCAGATTAAAGGAGATTAAAGACAGGACAATTAAATGTAAGTCATCATCTTGGATTAGATCCTGGGCCTACAGGAAAATGGCTCATAAGGGCATTACTGCAACAATTGATAAAATTTGAATATAGATTGTATTTATGTAACAGTAATGCACAAATAGCAAATTTCTTGGTTTTTATAATTGTAATGTGGTTATATCAGAGACTGTCCTTGTTTTATATGCAGAGGAAGAGAGAGAGAGGTGATCACTTCCTCCTTTCAGAAACTCTTTCTTTATTTGACTTCCGGGATACCACATGCTTAGTCCTCTTACCTCTCTGGCTTCTCTTCCTCTTATTTCTTGTTGAATCCTTTTTCAATTTTCTAACTTCTAAATGCTGGAGTTTCCCAGGACACAGTCGTGGGACCTGTTCTTCTCTACAGTCTCTTCCTAGGTGATTTCATCCAAATCTGTGGCTTTAGATTCAACTTCTGTTCCCAAATTTATCACCAGCTCTGACCTCTCCCCTGACCCCCAGACAAGGAATTCCATGGCCTGCTAAATTTTTCCACTTGGTGGTTCAAATGGGCATCTCAAACTTAACCTAATCAGAATGGAATCTTTATTTTCTCTGCAAAGGCTGCTTCTCTCCCAGTCTTCCCCGATCTCCTTGGCAACAGCTCCGTTCATTTAGTTGTTCTGGCCCAAAATATCGTGTCCTTCTCGATTCTCCTTTTGTCTCTCCTCACCAGTCCACCAGCAATGCTGTCAGCTCTGTCTTCAGAATACATCCCTAGTGTGGGTGCTTCTTACCTGCCCACCTCATCACCATGCTAGGGCAGACCACCATCACTGCTCCCCTGGATCATTTAATTTGGCTTTTACCTGCTTCCACCTTTGCACCCTTCCCCCACCCCCCACAGTCTATTCCTCACTCAACAGCCAGAGTGATACTTTTACAACTTGTCACCTCTACTTAACCCATTATCACCTAAACATATCAAGCACATACTCACCTCAGGACCTTTCGTTCTGCCAAGAATACTTTTCCAGTGATTCACCTGATTCTAGTCAATGTTCACATGTCACCTGATCAGAGTGGCCTTCCCTAATCAATGTGTCTAAAATATCCCTGCCAGTCACTATCTATTCCTAAACCTGCTTTACTTTTCTTATAGCAGTTATCATCCCCTGATACATTTTATATTTATTTTATGTGAATATTTGTCTCTCCCCACTAGTGTGTAAGCTCTGTTAAGGACAGGGACTTTCATACGTTTTGCTTATTAATGGTATCCCAGCACCTAGAACATTCAGCCCAGAGTAGTCCTTGGCCCATAACTGGTGTTCAATAAATACTTGTTGAATTAATGAATGCTGAATGATATTTTTACTTACTTGGGAAAACCCAGTAAACTCTAGTTACAAGAACAAACAAACAAACCCCCACCCTCCACTTAACTACTTGCAATAGTTAAATGATGGCTCCCCAGAAATATATGTCCTGGGGGGAGAGGGAGGAGATATATCCACCCCCAGGAGCCCAGAAACTGTGACCTTATTCAGAAACAAGTCTTTGCAGATGTAATTAAGGATGGTGAGATAAGATCATCCTGGATTATCTAGGTACACCCTAAATCAATGACAAGTGTCTTTACAACAGACACACACAAAACAGGTATGGACAGAAAAGAAGAAAAGACCATGTGAGAACAGAGGCAGAGATCAGAGTGGCAGTGCCACAAGCCAGGAACCCCTGGAGCCCCCAGAAGCTGGAGGAGGCCAGGCAGGATTCTCCCCTTCAGAGCATGGCCCTCCCACCTTCATTTTGAACTTCCGGCCTCCAGAACCATGAGAGAGCACGTTTCCATTGCTTTAAGCTACCAAATTTACCACAATTTGTTACGGCAGCCCTAGGAAAATGAATACACTGCTAGAGTAATAAGAGAACTTGGCAGGGAGCATGGCTATAAGATAAACACGACAAAATCAAGAATTTTTCTTTGTACTCTCAGTAACAATTGGAAAAAATCCCTTAGGAGAACTACTTAATTAAAAAAAGTTACTCTGCCTAACTGAAGAAAAGTATAAAATCTTATAGAATAAAGAAGAATGAATCTTATAGAAAACCGGAGGTAAATAAAGGAGAAAAACGTGAGTACTTCAAACTTCACGAGAAAGAGTAACATTTGAGACCAGCCAAGAACATTGTAGAAAAAAAGGATAAGGCTGAAGTCTTGTCATTTCAATTAATAAAATTACAATACAGAAGTGGACAAATAGTATAATATTATGACTTAATAAGTATATTAAACATTATACAATTAAAAGAACTAAATGGAATCTAAAAATAGATTCATATGTACATATATACATATACATATATACATATATGTATGTACACACATATATATAAACATACATATATACATGCATAATAAATGGCAAAGGTGGCATTTAATTTCAGATCAAAAAGGTGGTCATTTCTGAAATGATGTTAGGCCAGCTGGTATCCGTCTACCCTGGAAGACAACAAAGTTGGTTGGCCCCCCTCTCATTACACCAAATGTGAATTCTAGATGTATTAAAGATTTAAATATGAAAAGTAAAACAAAATTTAAAAAAATATGTGTATAACCTAGAGGTCAAGGCAAGTCTTCCGTGCAAGAGAGGAAATAAAGAACCTTTAAATAAAAGGTAGATACATTTATCCCATAAAAATTCAAAAACAAAAACAGTCAAAGCACAGATGTCTGACCAATACACTGACCTGTGAATAGATGTCAGATTAAAGAGCTTCTAAACTGTATTATATAAAGGGCTCCAGAAATTGGTAAGAAAACAGCAAACACTCTAATAACTGGCAGAGAATACGAGCAGGCAATTTATAAAAGAGGAACTCCTATATGAAAAGATGTTCATTCCTCTTAACAAATAAATGAATTTCAATAATAAGATGCCATATTTTGTCTCTTACTTTGGTAAAAATTAAGGATAGCATGAACCTTGGTTCTTAGCAAGGCTGTGAGAATATAATTATACATTTTAATTTACAATTTAAAAGACACAAAGCCTTTCATCCATTTGGAAGTGCATCCAGTAGGCACAGTAAAAGGACAGGTAACACAAGAACATTCATTACAATATTGTAAAGTCAAACACAAAACAAAACCTGAAAGCCCACTGATAGAAGAATGTTTGAATATACTGTGGCCCATCATGAGTATGGAATATTTTGCAACTATTAAAATTTTTAAAAATGAGTTAATTCCATTCATTGACTAGTAAGATCCCCATGTTGCAGTGACGAAAAGAAACTTCGTGGAACTGCACACAGGATGTTCCTGTTGTTGACAGAAAACCAGGACAAAGCGTGTGTGTGTGTATGTGTGTGTGTATATATGTATATACATATATGTATAATGATTGATGAGCATGAGGAAGGACATGGAAGGATACACTTTATAATGTTCAAAATGTTAAAATTGATTACCTTTGGAAGGAGAGGGGAGAGAAGAAGCAAAAAGTGTTTTTAATGAGTAAAACAAGGACAAGAATATAATTGTTCTTGAACAAGTATGAGAAAAATATTCACAGTAAAAATGAGGGAACAACCTAATTGTTTGCTTCAGGGAGCTGGTTAAATTAACGGAATGCGAATACCTCCAGAAAAATAAACGACAGCCATTATAAAATAGTGCCGTACATGTACATTTATACACTGAATGTGTCGAAAATATCAGCACATATGCATTAAGATCTCATCTAGTTACATATTTGTATGTAAAGGAAAGGCAGCCTAAATGGATATGGGCAGGTAGTGTCCATGCTTGTGGGATCCGGGTGGCTGTCCCTCTTCCCTATCCTGCCTTAATATTGTTTGCTTCTATTCTCTAATTTCTCTAAATTCAAATCTGAGAGGAAAAAAGCATGGAGGTGAGTTCAGAAGGCACAACTTCTAACTACTAGGCATTCCAGAAAGAGAACAGAGAGAAGACATGTCAGTCCTTCAGAGACGGTCTAATAACTGACCCTCAAAGGTAAAGAGTTGGGGTCTCAGTCTGGTCATTCCTTCCCTCTTCTTCCTGGCTCCAGCCAGACACCCGTTTGGAGAGGCAGCCTGTCAGGCCACAAAAGGTATCTGAACACACATAACACGCACACACACACAGGGAACAAACCTGCCTTATATTTACATAACTATTAGGGGTCATGCCAGGAAGCCTTCCCTGGAAGGAAGCTTCCCAGGAAGCTCAGCCCCTAGGTGACTTTCTGTGACCTTCTAGAGTGAGAAGCAAGCAGCAGTTTTAAAATAGCAGCTTTGTTTGCCAAGCTAAAAATTAAGGTCTGTCTTACCAGGCAGCCTTCTAAGAGCAAAGAGACCAGGAAGATCTGGCGGTCCCGTCCTTCTGAGCCTGCCCTCTGGCCTGGAAGAACCAGAAAGCCCCAGCTAGATGCCCTGATCAGGACCCTAACTCAATATGCCTTGGCCTGCCCCTCCCCTTATTTACAAAGGATCAGTTTGCACCTCAAGCAACCAGTTCAAGGTCACTCATCTAGTGGGGGAACCCAACTCAGCTCTGACCCTAACTGCCCCGTGCCTTTTTCACTTGACTCTTTAGGAAGGCTTATCTGACTGTAGATGATTCTTTGCAGAAAAGAGTAGACAGTGTGGATATCACCAGTGATGTGCGGGTAACTATCTAACAGTCAATTATCAGGGTAAAAAGATAACTCTGGTTTGTAGCATTTGGCAATGTCCTTGGTTTGAATATTTGCATCATGGCTGATTTCAAGCTGTTGTCAACTTGGAAACTGAACAGTCTGCTCAGGAGCTGAGGTGGGCCCTTCCAGAGGACAGACAACTCCAGGGTTTGATACCTTCTAGGTCAAGTCTCATCTCCATCTCATGTCAGCAGGGCCCTGTTATGTGAAAAAAAAAAACATTAGTAAGAATTTATGTTGAGGCAACGTGAACAGAAACTTGGGAGCTTCAGCTGTAAAATCAGGATATTGATATCTGACAAGGTTGTTGTGAAAAATAAATAATGTTCATGGAGGACTTGACAAGCCATCAATATGATTTCCTTCTATATGTTGCCATGAGCAATTGTTTATGATAGAACAGCACACGTACAAAACTCAGAACACAAACCCTTCTATGTTTCTATCAGGGATGCACTGGTTGCCTGGGATGGAGGTGGGGAGATTAACAGGGAGAGTGCGAGGGACCTTTCCAGGGTGATGAACGTATTCCTTCTATTGAGAAGGGTGTGGGTTACTGGGGGGTGTGCTTTGGTCAAAACTCATCTAACTGCACAGTTATGATCTGAGGATTTCATTCTATGGAAATTTTACCTCTGTTAAAAAATAAAATTAAGTGGGGAAGGGAGCATGATTATAGATTACAAGTGACTTTTAGACGCATACAAATTAATAAGTGGATATGAGAAAGAGCTGGGTGAGCAGGCCAGGCCCAAACCCTCCTCCTGGCCCTGCCTGGAAGCAGCCCAAATCTCTGTCCTGCATAGAGGTGTCCAGGCAGCTACTGATCACAGTGACCATGGGGGTCCTGGGCTTAGGCAAGGGTACTATGTTGTCGGCATCACCACACACCACCTAATCTCTCTCCAGCACACCACTGCTCCAAGACCGTGTGCTAAGGGAACCAGATGTCAGTGTTTAGTCAAGGCTGTTATGGTGCAAGGGATGCCCAGCCCAGACACTGTGACTCAGCTGGAAAATCTCACCCAGTAGAACTGGCTGTTGGATCAAGTTTATCTGACAGACACAGTAATCGACCCAAGCATTCCTTTAAGGACTATTAAGCAATACCTTCCTGCTTCCCAGATTCCTACAGCCAGCACCCTGTGTACTGTGCTGAATTTGACCCTCCCCAACCCACTGGCATCTGGGATGTGACTGGAGGCTGTTGCCAAGAAACGAAAGGCTTAGGAAGCCTGTCCTGCAATATTAATAGAAAAAAAAAAGTTGTAAACATTCTCCCAAACAGAAACCAGTAAGATCTGGCCTTATTTACGATACCCTTTTCCTTCTTACCAGAAAATGAACAAACAAAAAAAAGTGACACAAATAAGCCAGAAGCAGCACTTACTTCAAGATGAAAAATGAGTAATTAGTACAATGAACAGAACTTCCTTTTCCTGTCATTCAGAAGATAGTTGGCCTAAGACCCCAGCAGGTATAAGTTTCTTCATGCTCTGTTCCCATTTCCTTTCCATTGATATTAATCTGAATACCAAGATGGGCAAGAATTCAACACACAGATTAAGTTTTTAGAAGAGTCCAATATGGTTTCCTTTGTCATCTCCTGTGAGTGAGCAATGAATATCAAAATTGCTAAACATCTAATTATGCCAAACTTAAAAAAATTTTACAGTAAAGGATAAAAGAGTAATTAGTTGTTATCTTTTTTATCCATACGAGTAATGTGTTTATAATGTTTCCCTGCTTTTCTGGGAAAGTAATGAAAAAATTACATAATACTACTTTCAGAAAAGTATCTCAACAAGGGTTTTTTGTGGACTGATGCCAAAAAAAACCCACATTTCTTACTCTAGGACATGGTTTGTGAGGCTCTATGTCTATGAACTGCAATTCTGAATAAAAGCTACTTGCAGATTGGATGTTGCAGTATATAAATTCACTGCTGCCTTTAAAATAAGAAAACTTGTAAACAAGTTGGCCACATATGCTGAATTAATTTTGTTGGTGAACCCGTTTCAGTGTATCTGTTTCAAAAATAACTCAAGACATAAGTTTTGCTAGTCAATCTGCTATAAAAATCCATCAAGTGACATCAAGGAAAATATTATCTTTAAATGACTTGCTTTTATTTTTCTTTTGAAAGTACATGTGTGTCCAGAGTTATGATTTATGCTAGAAATTGACAACACCATGACATAAATGATCGAATAAGCATCAAAGTTGCTTGAATTTTCTCCAGTGGCAAACTAAATTAGATCTTGTGTTATCAGAGTTTACTCAGCTTAAGGAATGTGTGTGCTGCTATCTATCTACTTGCCAGTTTTTCTTTTTGCGAATGGCAAAGAGGCTATACTTGAAGAAACAAGGACTGAAAATTTTTCCAAAATAGAAGAACGACATGAGTCTTGGGATTGAAAGTGCCCAGGTACTGGGCAGCTTCAGTGAAAACAAGACACCAAGCTGACAGCAAGATAACCTAAGAAAAGGTTGGGATTGGCTTGATGCTCAAAGCAGATTTTAGCCGTAGCTATAAAGCAGCCATTTTTTATAAGGAGACTGGATTTGTGTATTTCATATGCAGTCAGAAACTATTTTAAAAAACTTACCCAGACTTAAGCGTTGAGTTTCTAACTGGGAAGCCAATCAGTTGGAAGCCAGGGAGTGGTCTTGAGTCGCCACTTAGATCACTACATAGAGTATCTGCCCTGGAGATCCCAGTGCCCTGGGAGGAGACAGAGCCACAGAAAAACACACCATGAAAACTCTCAAAGTAGATGAGACATCATTTGCTGATGGCAGCGGCTCCTGTTCCAGGTGTGCTGATGATAATGCTGGGTGTTTAACAAGCAGTAGCTGACACAAATCTCACAACATTCCTTTGGGGCTGGGCAATCGTTATTTCCACATCATAGATGAAGAATCTAAGGCTCAGACAGAATAAAGGACTTGCCGCAGGATTAGGTCATTTGCTAGCAGTCACAACAGCTAACCCTTGTTGAATGCTCCCGACAAAGCAGACACCTAGAAATTGTTGCATGCGTGTATTAACTCACTTAAACCTCACACTGACCCTATAAGGCAGTACTAGCTGACCCCATTTTACAGAGGAGGAAACTGAAGTCCAGTTATGATAAGACCCAGATGTGTTAAATAAGTCAGTGGTAGAGCGAGGATTTGAACTCCATCTGAATGGATGCTATGTCCTTCATTTCACAGTATTTTATGTATGTGATGAGGGCGTAAAAGAGCTAGGAAATAATTCCTATCTGAGGATGGGGGGTTTCAGGATGGAGCAGGGAAGGACTTGGGAGTGGGTCTTGAAGGGTGAATAGAATTTTGCCAGGGAGAGCTTGGAAGAAAGGACATTCCCACAGAAGACAGAGCAGGAGCAAGGTGGGTGGACTGGATGTGGCCTGGGGACACGGGGAGGAGGTGCAGGCAGGAGGGGAGCGTCCCATTGAGGGGAGGCTTTCTTAGGTACTTGAGTTTTAATCTTATACTGTGGAAAATAACCCTCCTGCTCTGTCCTCAATTTCCTTATCTGTTTTATGGAAATGATAATAGGATCCACCTATTATCATAGGTAATAGGTATCTACATATTATCTCCACATTCATATTATATTATATCTACATATTATCATATTATGATAATATCTACATATTATATTATAGCAAGGGTCTAGTGGGAGGATTAAATGAGGTAATACACTGAAAACATTTGCACAGAGCCTGGCACATCATAAGCCTCAATACATGTCAGTCACAATGATTAATTATTACATAGGTATAGTAGTCCTCTCTCATTATCAGACACAAGTCTTCATTTCAATTGATGGAATCCCAGATCAGACAAATGTTTTTTGTTTTGTTTAGGAAGACTCACATCGCGATGGAAGGTGCAAGAGTCTAGCACTAGTTTCAGGAACAACTGGATCCGTGGACTTAGGCACCACAAAATCTCTCACTGGGATCCTGGCGGCCAGCAGCTATGCAATCTCCATCTTTACCCCCCAACAGGAAATCAGTCATTTTTCTAGCTCTGGATTTAAGCGATTTTAGAATTGGCTCTGATATAACAGGGCCAGGGAGGAGGGGACCTGTAAAACTGGGGAGAGAGGGACCTGGCAGGGAGAAAGGGACAAGACCATTTCTCAGAAGAGTGACATGCAGTTCTGGGAAAACAAAACAGCAGAGCTAATCCAAACTTCACTCACTTCCAAACAAGGTACATCCTTGCGCAGACTGCTCTTTGCATAGTAACAATATAATATGTTAACATAACATAACATTGATAGCATAGTAATCAATGTTCTTGGTTTACCAAGTTTTAACATCATGACTAGACTCTGTGTGCATGCCTGCTGGAAAACTTATTTTTCTCTCTGGAATCTTGTAACATCTCCTTTTTGTCCTTATTGTTCTGAAATTTCCTGCTAATGTAACTTGGCATAGACTGATTTTCATCAAGTTTTCTGGGAACTTAATGGGCCTCACTATGGTAACCAATGTTCTTTAGAGTTCTCGGATTGTTTCTTTGAGGACTTCCTCCCATGTGTTTCCTCTGTTCTTTCTGGAACTCCTGAAACTAAGAGAGTAGACCTCCTAGACTGGCCCTCTAATTTTCTGATAAGTTCCCTCTTACTTTCCAGTTTTGTCATTTTGCTGAACTTTTTGTGACATCCCCCTAAATGTATTTCAAACTCTGTTCTAATTTTCATTGCCATTATCATAATTTTCATTCTAAGAGCTGTTTCCTATGCATGTAGAACATCATTTGACACAGAAAAAAGGTTCAAGCTTTTTAAAGCATCTCCCTGTGCAAAACAAAGAATAAATTTGTTCTTTTTGTGAGATTCATTTTCACAGTATCAGGTCCAGCTCAAGGAGGCAGTTCTGACTTTACACAATTAGGTGCTAAAACCAAGATGCCTTTGTGCAGTTGCCAAAGTGCTGATTTTACTGGTTTGCCTGGAACCAGCCAACACCGTGTTTTGCACCATATTGGGAACAATGGGAAGGGAAAAGGTGCCACGTTAGATTCATGTTGTGCCAGCAGGAGACACTTTGAAAACATGTCAGGTGATTTGGCGTTAATCCAGAAACTGTTAAATATAATAAGGCTTTCACTGTAGACTGATGGCCCTACAGACCTCAATAACTGTTGTTATTTATGTGGTCCCCGTTAGAATCCCCAAAGAGAAATGTCTGCGAGAACATCCAAAGTTCTGAGACCATCTGCTGGGGATGAAATCTTTAAAGTGGTAATAAATATTTGGAAACACATGAGATATTTTTGGAAAGTCTGGGTACTAGTGGTACCGACAGGGAGGTATGCAGCTCTACATGAATGATTCCCTCTGGGAAACCTGAGTCAGGTAATATTTGTCTTATTCATAATAAAGCTGTCCTATGTCAGCATATAAACCTTTGCCTGTAGATCTGAGTTCCACATTAAATGAAGTTACGGAAAATAATGAATCTAAGTAATACAAGATGCTAACAATCCCTTCTGCTTAGGATCAGAATACCATGTCTGCTTTTGCCTGTCAAAGTACATGTGTTTCCAAAGGACAAGTTGATAGCTCAAATAAATACATTTTATGAATAATTCTTGCTTTTCAGATCTGTTGCAAGTTATCATTGTCTTTGTAAGAGGTTTTATTCATTTGACTTTTTTTTTTTCTGAGAACCTGGTTGAACTTAATCAAAAATTGCAAAGATGGCATGAAAATAGCTAACCTGTACTGAAAAATGTTCATAAGCAGCAAGGCAAATTTCAGCTTTGGGAAAGGAAGATTGAAAAATGATGTGTTGGAGGAACCAACCCTGCTGACATCCTGATCTCAAACTTCAAGCCTCCAAAGTGTAAGATAATAAATGTCTGTTGTTTATACCAGAAAAAACAAAAAAGAAAAGAAAATGATGTGTTGGTAGTTTATGAAATAGGAGATGGATCTGAGGTCTCACTCTTGTAGATAGAATTTCAGCAAGTCTCCATTTCCCACCCCTCCCCTCACACCTAAAAGCCACCCGGTTCCATCATTGCCTGAGTTTGGGGTCACACAGCAGTGAAGTTGGGTGGCTTCTCAAATGTGCCATGGCTGGTTTATGTTCAATTCAATTCAATCACCTTTCTTCTCATTTTAGTAAGAAGAAACACGTATTGAAGTGTGTGTACAGTCTGCCATATTTAACTGGAAATAGATCATGATTTTTCAAACTCACTCTCTCTTTTTTTAACCAAAGAATCTTTTTTCAAAAGGAAACCATTTGGGAGTCCAGTATGTTAAAGAGAGAAAGTGGAGTTGCTTTGGTTGAGGTAAGAATGAGGCCCTTTCCACATGGGAGTATTTTATTTCTGAGTCCATTTGGTCCCTAGACCAAGGTTTCATTGACTCAGTTTGTCTCAATTAATTGGCAGCAAGAATGAGATTTTTCTACACCAAGCCCTGGACTAGTTCCTGAGGATGCAGATGTGGGTAACAAGGTCCCAGCCTTTGGGAGTTTATGGTCAAGTGGTAGAGACAGACTTGTATAAAGAACCATGAGATCCTGAAATAAGCAATGGAAGGGGCGTCAGTAGGGGACTGTCTTTCAGTTGCTCCAAATGCAAACCCACTCCAACTAGCTTAAGCAGCAAGGGTGGAGTGGGAGAATTTGCTGGAATGACAGCCGGTCATGTTATGGGTCTCCAGGCCAAGATGTGCAGGCAGGAAGCCCTGGGCCCAGAAACCAGCAAAGCCACCCTCTGTTGGCAGCTGTCCTCTGGCAGTCACATAGGCCTGTTCTGTTGTGTCTGATAGTCACCCTTGGAGTCTCCCTTAACTCTTGTTTCCTACACCTCTTTGCAATTCATCAACAAGTTCTGTTGGCTTTACCTTAAAAAAGTACATCCAGGATCGGACCCTTCTCACCAACTCCACCACTATCCTTTGGGTCCAAGCCACCATCACTTTGTGCCTGGAATCTTGCCAAAGCCTCCTAACAGGTGTGCCTGCTCTGCTGTAATCATCGTGCTGCCATGACAGTGGTCAGGCTTTAAAGGGTAAGTTGGATCATGTCACTCCTCTGCTCAAAACTTCCCAACGGCTTTTCTCATCCACAAGGCTCTGCAGGTCCAGCCCCTGTGGCTTCTCTGGCTTTATCCCCTACCACCTCCCTCTTGCCCCCTCTGCTGCTACAGTGTCCACCAGCAGGCTCCCTCTTAGGGCCACTGCTCCTAGAGTTTCCTTTCCTGGGACTGTTCTTCCCCCTGGGGCCACATGACTTGCCTCCTCTCTTCTTTCAGACCTTTATGCAAGTACCTCCTCCTTGGTGAAGACGTCCCTGGACACCTTAACTGATGTTTGGATACTGGCCCTTTCCTGCCCCTGTACTTCCACCCCACTTTCCAGCTTTTTTTTTCTTTTCTCCTTAGCTCCTATTTTCTTATGTATCTTGCTTACTGTCTCTTCCCCACCAAAACGTGCTTCTGAGAGAGCAGGGATTGTTGCCCTCCTAGGTCACTGATGAATTCTCAGGGCACAGAAGAGCACCTGACACATTGTTGCTTAATAGAGATTTATTGAATGAAAGAAAATCTTACCCCTCTTTTCTCTCTGTAGCCTGTCTTCTCTGCCTTCCCCTCATTCTCCCTCTCTTCCTTCTTGCTTTCCTAAGCATCTTGTGGTAAGTTGCTCAGTCAGTTCTAGAGCTCTGTGATAAATTCCAAATTCCCAGCCCAACAACCCTGACAGACCCAGTTTGAGTCAGGTGTTCACCCCTGGACCAGTCAGCTGTGGTCACTGGGGTGGGGTCATAGACATACCCTTCTCTGTGGTTGGGGCC